TGTGTGTGTTCTGAACACTGATTTATGCTGATACATGCACACATATTTAAGGTATTACTCCTATGACCCTTTGTCTGTCATATAGTTTATGTTACAGATATTTCTCTGAGATCTGCCTTCATTTTATTTATGTTTTTATGCAAAACAATATTTTTTATGTATTTAGTCTATAAATCTTTCCTTTATGGTTTCTTTCTTTGATTTTATGCTTATGCTTCCCTACACTACCATATTTGCTTTCTGACAAATTTAATTTTCAATGTATTTCAACTTGCTGAGATGTTTAGAAGGAGGCATGATAAGCCCAGGAAAATTCTATTTTCATGGAGAGTTCACTAAATATATTTTACTCCAAATAAAACTCAAGAATATTAATATAATAAATGCATAGAATATGAAGAAGCTGTCACCAAACTTCCTAGAAGAAATAAATCAGTGTTCAACTTCTCTCCGTTGCTGCTGGAAGAAGTCAGATTCACGTGATAAATTGATATCTGAGCAATCAGGTTGGAGTTCACTGGAAGTATAAATTGAACCTGTCAGTCACAAGGTCACAGCCAGGACCACTCACCCTGAGGCAAAGTAGCTAGGAACCAGCCTAAATGATAACACGCACACAACCTCCAGTGTAAGAGTCACTGATCATGTCAACAAACTAGGATGCATGTCGATGTCCTTAGGTAATAATTTTTTAAATGTGAGCAACCGAAAAGGAAATTTACCAGTTCACTCACTTCTTCCAAATACATCAAATCTCAGCTATTTCAAGGCCTGCTAGATAAAGTCTTTTCTCTTTTTTTAAGTTTTCCTGATTGTTTTCAGTTGTGTATTACAGAAAATTTCAAACATGTAAAAGAGCAGAAAGAATAGCAGAATAAGCCTCCCCGTCCCCTCTCTCCCACCAATATTCTGATTATCCAAATTTAACAATTATCAACTCCAGGCCAATCCGTTCCTCTAATCCTTCCACCCCCCACTACTCCCCCCCTTCAGATTATGTTGACTCAAATCCCAAACATCTTATCATTTTTTCTGTAAATATTTCAGTATGAGAAAGGTCATTTAAGGTTATTGTTTCTATTTAGTGACTGTAAAGCCCGTATGTTGCTATTTAAGTCATTAGCTGCTGCTATATTTGCCAGGAGGCACTGCGGTTCAATCTTCACGCTCTCCTTTCTTCTGCCTTCCTCATCCCGCTGCAATATGGCAGCTCCGTTGGAACCGTTCTTGCTAGACCAAGACTTCCTAATGGTCAAGTTGCACGGAAACGTTTCAGTACTTACTTGGCCTTCCTCCACATTGAACCCTACTACACTCTCCTGCTGGAAGCTCTTTTCTCCTCTTGGAACATGACTATCATTCTCTCTAGTGGTTCTCTTGTTTCTTCTTCTCTCTTGTAAGAGACATAATCTCTTACAAGTTCTCCCTGTCCTTTGATACAGGATGATGTTTGCTCACAGCTCTGACAATAGACAGTTTTTGAGCACTTCTGCAGCTCCACAGTTCCATCAGCAATGACTTACCACTGCCAACCCAACAAAGACCAGTTTCCTCTTACTTAAAAAAAGAATTTAAAAAAAGCTTAAAGAATTAAAAAGCTTAAAAAAAGAATTTTCTTTTCTTTTCTTTTGACAGCTGGTTGGTATAGGACCTGGTGTTAATTAAAAAAAAAAATCTTAAGAGCCTTTCTCTCTCTCTTTTACAGCCTTTACAAATAATTTTTTCCCAATGGCTTAAATACATTTCTGTCACAACTTTACAAGAAATCCAAGTGAACTACTTTTTATTTGAGTAGAAAATAAAAATTCTTTTAGCAGGGACGATATAGACAATCACTTTACCTCATCAAAGACCTTGGAAACAACATGCTTGTCCAGAATGGGATTGGTAGGGCTGTGGGGGACTGTGGTCACCGAAAGGGTGTCCATGATGGTGAGTTTCTTGGCCACTAAGCCATGGGTCTTGAGCCAGTTTTCTGAAGACATATCTAAAGAACTAAGAACACAAGACCATGGTGTTTTAAAACTTGATGGGTAACAAACAAAAACATAACACAACTATCCTCGTAAAATTCAAGGAACTTACTCATAAACTTGGCTTCTTTCTGAGGACTTGTCGTCCAGACTCTCATTTGTTAGCAGGATGCTCATTTCTGTGGAAGGAGAAATGGCATTTTCCTTATGTATGGAGTTTTTATCAAAAAGCCAAAGGATCAGACTCGTCTCTGTTCAAACTAATAATGGACCATATTTCAGAGAACCTATCTTGATCTATCAGAGAGGGTTCTCAGGCGAGATTCACTTGCAATTTACACTGAAGACCTTGGTCACTATGGCACCGCCACCGCCTCACTTGTCTTCCTCACCCACATGCAGTGAGATCTCTCCATTCAAGAATGAGACATACGCATTCTCTCATTCTCCAGAAAACACACCTTAAAATGTTCAATAAGAATACCATTAACCCATGAGTGTTCAGTGTTGACCTCATTAGACGCTCTCCAAATCATACAGGACAGCCCTGAGCAACATTTTAATCTCTTTTTATTTATTCCTTTCTTTTT